AGTCATAGCAGGCTGAATCGTCAGAATGCTTGAAGATGGAGTTGACTGGCCAGCTTTTGGCCTTTGGCGAGGTGCTATTGAGGTCTCTGTAGTCGGTACTGGATCTGTAAGCCTATAGAAGGTTTTTATGAACAGTAAATTTATAAGTATCAACTTGTAAAAGGCGACATTTTTCCCCCCAAAACTGGGGCACAAAAGTGTGGACTATAATTTGAAAGGCATCCGGAAATTTACCTTTAATTAACACTTTACAATGGAACAAAACTCAAATTTAGCGAGACAATGCAATGACTGGTCTACCTTGCCCTTGGTTGAGACTTTTTAGCAGCAACTTCACTAGATTTTACTGGTATTGGCATTTTCACTGGAATCGGTACATTCTGGAAAAAAGAAACACACCTTGAACATATCGGTCCTTCCTTCACATAATATAAGATATAAATTTTTAAATATAAAATACAGAATGTTGATTCAAAGTTAAATCGTCTCAACAGGAAAGTAATCAAAGTGCTTGAGTTTGATGAAACTTGAAATGAAAGAAAATGCTCCAAATTTTGAGTTTCAGTCTTTCTCCAAACTTAGCTGCAAAGATCGATCAATTTGAAATACTTCATTTCCTAAGTTTACACTTACTTTTATGAAAACCCAACATACAGAATACTCAGTGCATGTGTTGAGGTTGGTTGGCTCGCCGAGCTGGTTTGTTGTTCCGCAGACGTTTCGTTACCGTGTTTGGTAACATCCTCAGTGCAGCCTCTGATGAAGCGTCGGTGTGTTTTCCCACCTGGTTTTTAAACTCTGGGGTCTGTTGCGATGGATTGCCTCACTTCCGGGTTTCCTCCGTTGTGGAATGTATACGGGGCCGAGTTCAATGTGTTTATTAATAGCATGTTTCGTGGAGTGCCATGCTTCCAGGAATTCTCGTGCTTGTCTCTGCCTAGCCTGTCCCAGGATCTTGGTGTTGTCCCAGTCGAAGTCGTGGTTCTCCTTGTCCATGTGGATTGAGATGAGTGAGTATTGGTCGTGTCTTTTTGTAGCCAGTTGGTGTTCATGTACTCTTGTTGTTAGTTTCCTTCCTGTTTGTCCGATGTAGTGTTTCTCACAGTCTCTGCAGGGGATCTTGTAGATGACATTGGTCCTGTCCATGGCGGGGAGTGGGTCTTTAGTTCGGGTGAGCACTTGTCGTAGGGTTGATGTGGGCTTGTGTGCCACTCTGATTCCCTGCAGTCGTAGAAGTCTTGTGGCGAGTTCTGATGTGTTCCTGATGTAGGGTAGTGTGATGAGTGTGTCGGGGCGTATAGAATCTTTCTGATGCTGTTCCTGTAGGCATCTCCTGACCCAGTTCTTTGGATATCCATTATCCTTGAACATTTGGAAGAGGTATTCTTCTTCCTCATGGCGTAGTTCTATGTTGCTGCAGTGTGTTGTTGCCCTTTTAAATAGTGTTCGCACACAGCTTCGTTTGTGTGTTTGGGATGGTTACCATTGAAGTTCAATACCTGATCTGTGTGCGTGGCTTTTCGGTGTACTTTCGTTTGCAGCTCCCCATTTGTCTTGCGCTCTACCATGACGTCCAGGAATGGGCGTTGTTTGTTCTTCTCCTCCTCTCTGGTGAATTTTATTCCAGTGAGGGTGTTGTTTATGAGTTTGTGTGTCTCTTCTAGTTTGGCCGGTTTAGTGATGACAAAGGTGTCGTCTACGTAGCGTATCAATAGTTTAGGCTGGATTAGCGGAAGGGCTGTCCTTTCCAGTCTTTGCATCACATTTGTCATCATTAAACGTAACGTAACCATCCCAACACACACAAACAAAGCTGCGTGCGAACACTATTTAAAAGGGCAACAACACACTGCAGCAACATAGAACTACGCCAAGAGGAGAAGGAATACCTCTTCCAAGTGTTCAAGGATAATGGATATCCAAAGAACTGGGTCAGGAGATGCCTACAGGAACAACATCAGAAAGATTCTACACGCCCTGACACACTCATCACACTGCCCTACATCAGGAACATGTCAGAACTCACCACAAGACTTCTACGACTGCAGGGAATCAGAGTGGCACACAAACCCACATCAACCCTACGACAAGTGCTCACCCGAACTAAAGACCCACTCCCCGCCATGGACAGGATCAATGTCATCTACAAGATCCCCTGCAGAGACTGTGAGAAACACTACATCGGACAAACAGGAAGGAAACTAACAACAAGAGTACATGAACACCAACTGGCTACAAAAAGACACGACCAACACTCACTCATCTCAATCCACATGGACAAGGAGAACCACGACTTCGACTGGGACAACACCAAGATCCTGGGACAGGCTAGGCAGAGACAAGCACGAGAATTCCTGGAAGCATGGCACTCCACGAAGCATGCTATTAATAAACACATTGAACTCGACCCCATATACATTCCACAACGGAGGAAACCCGGAAGTGAGGCAATCCATCGCAACAGACCCGCGTTTAAAAACCAGGTGGGAAAACACACCGACGCTTCATCAGAGGCTGCACTGAGGATGTTACCAAGCACAGTAACGAAACATCTGCGGAACAACAAACCAGCTCAGCGAGCCAACCAACCTCAACACCCACAACCCGAGCTACAGATCTACTCCAAAACCTCAGTGCATGTGCTTCATGAACCATCTTTAGACTATTTATTGAGCTACAAAAAAGGAATTCTCTAAATATCTCATGATCAGGATGTGCACAGTGAAACAAAAACTTACAAATAGCCACTAAAATTACATTGTAAAATCACAAATATAACAAGGATCAGCAAACTGGCTTATCAATTTGGTTATAATGTAGATAACTGACTTGTAACTTTTACATCAACCACATTCATTAGAATGCGCGTCTCAAGCTAGATAATTTAGCATCATCTTCACTGAACTGTCAAAATAGGCTCTACACAAGTTATTCCTATCAAAGGATTCTTTGTGGCTATTAATGGAACCAAGCAAGCAAACATACTTACACTAACATTCTTAACAGGGCACATCCTCCTTGACATCCTAAATGTGAAGAAAGAAACTTGATAAATATCAGGTCTCTTGTCTGGATCTGCCTCAAGCATATATCCTGCAAAAAAGCAACAAGTTAAATTCACCAATGAAAAGTTAGGTAAAACAGCCAAAAAGATTGACCAAGAAATTAATCTGAAGAGCTGAATACTTACGAATTAAACAATGCATTTCACTGGAATACTTAGAATTATCTGGAATTGTAAAATTTGCATCACAGATAGCAACTTGGCTTTCTCCAAATGGCAAGGTAAAAAAGCAAAGTTTGTAAAGTAAGCATCCAAGGGCCTAAAAGAGACAAATAAGAGAATTTATCTAAAAGAAATGGTTCAACTTTATTACAAACAGTAGATCAAATTAATTCTGAGAATTCAACTGAGATGGGTAAAGCACATAGGAACAAGTAACACATGTATTCCTAGAAACAGATCAATTCTTACGTACCCATATGTCAGCTTTAGTAGTAATGGATTTTCCACTGTAAAGGTTAACCATTTCTGGTGCTCTGTATGACAGTGTTGTATACCTGAAAATTAGAGCAAGATTACTTACTGGTATAAAACAAGCACGACATTTTGTAAAGACCACTGCCTTTCCCCACTGTTGGCTTATTGTACACCATCACAGTACGTTGACTTGCGTTTAGGCTACTTTAGTTAGAATACTTCGCATTTATATGAAACATTTAATGTCTATCATTCATAGAAGCTTTAGCCAAAAGAAATTTAAAACCACACCACAATAGGAGAGATAATCAAATACTTAGTTAAAGAGCCGGGACTTAAGGACCATCTCACAAGGAGGAATGAGAGAGATAGAGTTGAATAGATGTAGGGAGGAGATTCTAAGATTGGTATCTGAACAGCTAGATACAGGAACAATGATTGATGAAGATTAATTAAGAGGCTAGAACTGGAGGAGAACAGAGATCCCATGGCTGTAGGAGATTATAGTTAAAGAGGGGGCCAAGGTCGTGGACTGGTGGGGGGAGGGGTAGCAGTGGTGGTTCAGGATTTAAATCAAAGAAACTTTTAAAATTGAGCTGCTGCCAAACAAGAAACCAGTGTAAGTTAGTAAGCATAAGGAGGATGGGTGAACAGGATTTGGTAACTGTTAGGGCATGGGTAGCAGAGCTTTGGATACTCAAATTTAAAGTACAACACCAGCTATGAGAGCGTTGGAGTTGTCATGGCTAGAGTTAATAAAGACATAAGCAGCTGAAACTCTCATTTATAAATTTAAACAGAGGTGGAATCCATTTAATGATGGAAGAGGAAATGGAAACTCAACTCAAGGGAAAATGGATGGCAATACTGAAAATGAGGTGGATAAGCTTTAGACTGTAGCCAGGGTGAAAGAAATAGTTGATGGCTTGGGACCAGATTGAGGCTTCAACTTTCCAAATATTTAGTTGGAGTTAGATCTGTTCATCAATTCTGGATATCTGACAAGCAGCAGGATGAATCAGAGGCACGAAAGAAATGGAGGGAAGTAGTTGCAGGTTAAAGCTCGATGTCATACACGTGACTTAGTCATTATAATTGAAGTGCTGAATTTGAAAATATTCCTCCACTTGAAAGTTATAGAAGAACCACCTAGATTAAAACAAAATAGCAGGTCAGTGATTGGCATTTCTTCCATATCTCTTTTGATTGGCTAAGCAGTTTAAATCAACAGACAATATTACAGCTGAACATTAAAGTTTGGAGATTCACGTAAAATATTTAACACCTAAATTAATTAATTGAATAGAGTTGAGATGGCTGGACATTAATTAATTGAATAGAGTTGAGATGGCTGGACAGGCAATGTGTTGGTGCTGTAGTATATGCGAGCTGGAGGGTGCTGGAGTGATCCACAGTGAACACATCTGCAAAAGGTGTTGGTTGAGGCTTGAAGAATTTCAGCTAAGAATTCTGAGCAGATACTGTGACACACCAGGGAGGGAAGTGGTACTGGGACAATGATTTTGGAGGCAGTCACACCCTTCAATGTAATTACATCAAATTTGTCCGTGGTCAGGCACAGGAGGGTGTGACTGTGAACAAGGCAGGTACTGGGATCCAAATTGAGCTATGGAGGAGCCTCAGTCAGTGCCCATATATAATAGGCATGAGGGTCATGCTCCTAGTATGGATGAGAGCACAGAATGCAGGGAGGGTGAGTGAACTGTCCAAGCATCATGGTACAGAGTGCCATTCACGTGGAGGAAGAGAAATAATGTGCTAATAAGATAAGAGAAATGAATGCGTGGCTCAAAAATAGGTAAAGGAGATGTTGATAACAGTCAGTGGCACATTGGCATTGGTACTGGTGCAAATGGGATCTGTACCAGTGTAACCGTGTTCTTGCTGACCACATAACCAGGGAGACAGAGAGGATTTTAAATTTAAAAAAGGGGGCAGAGGATCAAACTTGGGAACATACGGTAAATCAAAGAATAAACACAAGTCCAAACAGTGGGTCAACCTACAGAAGATGGAGTGCAGTGTTTCATAAAAGCAGCTCACTAGCACCTTCTCAAGGGCAACCAGGGACAGGCAATGAAATTGCTGGCCAGCCAGTGATGCCCACATTTCACGAGTGAATAAAAAAATTATAAACAGACTGATCTAGAAAGAAATATAGTTCATAAATCATTAACCAACAGATAACATTAAAATTTATAAAAAAAGAACAAAGCTAAAGGCTCTAAATCCGAATGCACATAGCATTCAGAACAAAACAGATGAACTGAAAGCACAAGTAGAAATGAATAAGCATAATCTGGTAGTCATTATGAACACATGGGTGCAAGATGACGCAGGTCAGGACCTGAATCTTGAAGAATACTGGACATTTAGGAAGGGCATGAAGGTAGAAAAAGAGGGAGGGGTGCCTTGGGTAGTTAGTGATGACTGACTTTCAAGATACCAGATGTGCAGTTTGGGAAGAGATGAGAAATGATAGAGGCAAGAGTAACTTGTGGGATTGATATACAGGTAACCTAACAGTAACCAAATAACGGGTGGTTTATAAAGGAGAAAATAAAGAGAGCTTATCAGAAAGGCACAGCTATAAATCATGGGAGATTTTAATCTACCTATCTACTAGAAAAGTTAGCTTGACAAAAGGAAGCCTAGGTGAGGAGTTCATAGAATACTTTCAGGACAGTTTCTTAGAACAGCATGTTCTGGAGCCAACAGGACAGTAGGCTTTACTGGACCTGGTTTTGTGCAAGGAGATATGATTCATAAATGATTTCATGGTGAAATCACAATTGTCGGTAATGCAGGTGCGAACAATCCCATCGTTAATTCACGACAAGTCCCATCAGTTTGAAAGATAACAAATGCAACTCCTTTATTCAAAACGAAGGGAGACAGAGAGCAAGAAACTACAAACAAATTAGCTTAACATCTGTCATAGGGAAAATTTTAGAAATTATTAAAGTTATAACAGACCACTTAGAGAAGTTCAGGTAAATCAGGTAGAGTCAACATGGTTTTGTAAAAGGGAAAACATGCCTGGCCAATCTTGGAACTTTTTTTTGAAGGGGTAACACATCATGCAGTTTAAGGGGAATTGATGAATGTACTGCATTCAGATTTCCAGAGGCATTTGATTAGGTACCACAAAGGTTGTTGCAGGAAATAAAGGGGTAGCACATTGATATGGATAGAAAACTGGCTAGCTAAAAGAAAGCAGATAGCAGGTGCAAATGGGTCTTTTTCAGGTTGGCAGGATGTAATGAGTTCACCAAAGGAATCAGTACTGGGACCTCAACTATTATTATTTTTCAGTGCCATAAATTGTAAGTACTAATACATAACTCAGGAAATCAGTAACATTACTAAAAATGACAAAGCCAACATGCATGGAAGAAATAAGTTGTGGATCAACTGTTAACCGTCGTAGAACCAAAGTCTGCTTTGAAGATAGCATTTTTAACTAATTTCAGTCTTTTTTTGACAACATAATTTAAAAGGCACATGATTTTAAGAGAAGAACTTACTTTTTTATTTCTTCTTCAACTGCACTGACACCTTCAATTTGAGGATGTATGACTCTGTTTGTTGCACTTCCAAAATCACAGAGGACATAACTACCACTATCATGAAGTAGAAGATTTTCCACCTAGTACAGAACAGAAAGCAACTTTTTTTTGAAAATTCCTTGCACACAAGAGATTTGAATTCAATCTTTCTCAAATAATTCTCACCTTGAGATCTCTATGAATAATTGGTGGTTTGCACTGATGTAGCCTGGCCACCGCTTCACAAATATCACAAAATATTTGCAGCACCTCAATTTCACCAAAGCCAGAATGCAATCGTTGATTCATTAAGTTGACCACTTGACCACCTATGACAACAATAAAGCCTGATGGATTAAAGTGAACTTTTGATTTGTACTGAATCCCAGCAATACTAATTTACTTAATGGCATTGAAACATTGATCTTTATAGCCCAAGGTCTGAACTTTTCACTTTCAATTAATCACTTCATTTTATCCTAGCTTTTCATAGGTGAACAGGAGGGCAAAAACTGAAGTGTGAAATACAGCTAAAACTAAAGAGAAAAAAAGAATGTTTGCAGCATCACAAGTAGTAAGCAGGGAGAAGTTGAAACTTTTAAAAGTCAAAACCAATAGACTGAAATAAGATGACGAGCAGAGCAGAGTTAATATACTCATTCATTAGAGATGGGAAGAATAAAGCGTCCTGCATTGACAGATCTGCCAGCTTCAACAATCAACCAACCTAGCCAAGCCTACACGTGAACAAACTTCTAGGATGAAAAGTTTTGTATTCCAGAGCATCAAGGCTGTTTAGAGATGACGCTTGAGAAGTGCAGACAATCGTTACGAAGACGCCATTCAATACTGGAAAAATATTACTAAACTAAAACAAATTTATTTATTTCCTTCTAAGAATCATTAGGCCAGGTAAATACAGACCTTTAGGCCTTTATCAGTAACTGCTAAACTATGGAATTGAGTATTAGGAGGAAACAGATACATAACTGTAAATAACAATCAAATTGGCCAGGGAAAGTGAACATCTCGCAAGATAAACCACATTAATGACTTCTTTGAGACTCTGATATCCTAATGGTGGAAAGTCATGTGATGCAGTGCATTTAAATTTCCTTTAATAAATGCAATTGATCAAAAGCTAAAAAGTAGTTACAATTCATGCTCCAAAACAACGTGCGTTAGAAGCAAGCTGTGGAAAAAAAAAATGATGTTCGTTCACAGAAGACAGTCCACACTTGGGTTGAGAAGGTAACTCATCAGTGCTCTACAAATTCAAGCTGGGAATTTAAAGAGTTCCGATTGATTGCAGTGATCTAAATTCAAAAATTCAAAACAAACTCATCATTGATGATTATAAACTAGGGGCAGTTGTCTCAGAAATTGACTGGGAATCTACATAAAAACAAAACAGTTAAGATGAAAGTTTAAAAAAACGCTGCAGATGAAATCTAATACAGACAACTGTAAGATATTACAGATTGAAGTTAAAATGGACAAAGAAGAAATAATTGAAAGATATAGCAACATCGCAGACAACAGATGCTATATTTAATGCCAAATTGCTGTGTAGTAGCAGCAACACATCATTAGATCCTTTGAGGCAAAGCTTAAAGGTTAAAAGTAAAACTGCTCAGCATTCCAGTAAACAACATCCTACAGTAATGTGTCATGTTTGGTCACATACAGAAAACATTCAAGGCATAATCATGAAATAGACAGAACTACAACCGTGACTCATTCTGGTAGAGTGAGATTGTTGTTCTTTGTTTTATTCTTTGACAACAGCAAAGATAATGCTACATCAAACAGCTTAAATGATACATGGCATAGATAAATTAAATCTGACATATTCCATCCATGATATTAGGAAATTGTACACAATAGGGTAGTGAAACCAACATTTTTGTCACTGATGTAGAACAAACTGCAATGCTGCAGGGGCTCTAACACAAACCTTTACCAACACTGACTTTTTTGAAAGGTTTCTGCATGAATAACCTGAATGAGTGAAGGTTCTGCTTACCAAAATTTGATAAAGTCAACCCAGACAGCTTTACCCGAACAGCAGGTAATATCTGAATAATTGTAGGCGCTTAAGTATTTAACACTCCTGCCATTATGAAATAATTTACAGACTTAATCCAGAGCAATACCACTGGAAAGAAGAATTTGCAGGGTAGATCACGGGTCAAAATCAGGCAGGACTGGTTGCGAAATGCAGAATCATTGGATTCTCGACATGGCATTAACAATGACTATTAACCAAAATAAGAAGACTAACATGCAAACAAATTAGGAAGAGACCAGTCACCCCTCAAGTCTGTTCAACTAATCAATAACATCATGGCTGATTGGATTGTGTCCATAACTCCACCTTCTGTCCTACGTGTAATAACTGCAGATTCCCTCCTGAGTTAAGAATCTATCTATCTGTCTTAAAAATATTCATTGGTTTTGCTTCCACCACCCTCTGGAGAAGTGTTCAAAACTCCTTGCCCTCAGAAATAAATCCTCTTCATCTCCCTTCTATATGGGCAACTCCTTACTTTTAAATGTCCTGAGAAAGGGTCCAATCTGAACTGTCAATTCTCCTGCTCCCTTGATGCTGCCTGACCTGCTGTGTTCCTAGCTTCACGCTGTTTGACTCCCCCTTATTTTTAAACACTATGTCCCTAGTTCTAGGCCCTCCCATGAGAAAACATCCCTTCAGCATCTGCCCAGTCAAGTGCCCTTAGGATCTTTTATATTTAAATAACATTCCTCCTCATTCTTCTAAACTTCAATGGATACAAGCCCACCTATCTAATCTTTTCTCCTAAGATAACCCCCTCAATTATGAATCTTCTTTGAACTGCTTTGAGTATATTTAGACCATTTGTTAAATAACACAACCAAAACTATACAAAGTACTTCAAATGTGGCCTCACTAATACCCTGCACAACTATAGCAAAACATCCCTCTTTACATTCCATTCCCCCTGCAATAAACAACCTACCATTGCCTTCCTAATCACTTGCTGTGCCTACTTGTAACCTTGCACTTCATATACTAGGACACCCAGATCCTCTTGTTCTTAGAGTTTTACAATCTTTTTCCGTTTAAATAATTTTTTTTCTGTACTCTATGAAACTGCACAAGTTCGCATGTTCCAATGTTATGCTCCATCTACCAAATTTTTGACCACTCACTAACCTATGTCTCTTTGTAGATTCATTCTGTCCTTTTCACAACTTATTTTCCTATCATTGTGTCATCAACAAATTTAACAATCCTACATGTGAAACAAATTGTAAATAATTGAGACCCTAGCTCCAATCTACAAATTTAGCCTATAAATTCTTTGACTAAGGACTCAACTGGACTATCTTTTTACATTATTTAGTTAATCACAAAGAGTTTTCAACTATTTAGTTACAATTAGATTAGATAAGCGATCCTGAATTTTATAGTATTACCTGTTGCATATGACCGAAAACAGCAATAGCATTCACCATGTTCCATTTCTATTTCCATTTTATATGCAGGAACAAAGAACAAGAATGAAGAAAATTACAGCACAGGAACAGGCCCTTCGGACCTCCAAGCCTGCGCCGATCCAGATCCTCTATCTAAACCTGTCGCCTATTTTCCAAGGATCTGTATCCCTCTTCTCCCTGCTCATTAATGTATCTGTCTAGATACATCTGAAATGACGCTATCAGGCCCGCCTCTACCACCTCCGCTGGCAACGCGTTCCAGACACCCACCACCCTCTGCGTAAAGAACTTTCCACGCATATCTCCCTTAAACGTTTCCCCTCTCACCTTGAAATCGTGACCCCTAGTAATTGAAATGCAATCATAAATTCTTCCAATTGAAGGTATATTTCAGCATTATATTGAAATATTAATCTGTTTAAGACTTTGTCTGGAAGTATGTAAATACTATCATTTTATTTTCTGTAATTAGGACCGTGGAAGGAATTGGTTTTTAAATGAGTGACAGAAACTGCGTGTGTGGTGTTTACACTGTTGCTTTGCTCAAGCAGTAGGGGAAATGTACTGAATAATATATCGGCACATGCTAAATCTATGCAATGTGTAGATGGTTGCATCTTCAGCTGGAGATCAAGATAGAAAATATATACCAACCTTTTTGACAGGGTGAAGCCTCCAAGTAACAGCATTAAATAAAAAGGTACACATGGGCATAAAAGACAAAATTGTAGGTAAGTTAGTCATGTTACTGTTTGCATCTTTTGAAATGTTAATTACACAGATTACAATGTAATGGCTGGAAATACCACTTTTTGTATATATTTGTAGTAAATGTTGTATATTGGTAGATAGATGCGCAGATGTCAGAGAAACTATTTAAAAAATAAGATATTAACAAACCTCTGCAGTATTCCATTAGAATCAGGACCTCCCATACATCACTGGCATTTATTGAGGTAACACTGGAGTCCAAGTAGTTAACAATATTTTTATGCCCAGACAGATCTTTCTGTTTACAAATAAAAGTAAAATATTTCAGTAATCTAAGAAAACTTTTAACATATTGAAAACTTCATGTTTCATTATTTGAACTTAATGAACAAGGTACCAAACAAAGTTTGGAAGCAGTGACAAGTGAAATATATGGTCACATAACCCTTCACTTTTAGTCGGTTCTGTCTTATTTTTCATTCATTCAGGGGACACATACTTTACTAGCTTGGCCAATATTTCTCGCCCATCCCTAGCTGCCCTCAGGCAAGTGGTGTGCTGCCTTCTTAAACTACTACAGTGTATTTGGCGTACATATACTCACAATGTAATTAGGAGAAGAGTTCTAGGAGTTTTCCCCAGCAACACTAAAGGAATAATGTTACATTTCCAACTCAGGATGTGGAATGGCTTGGAAAGGGATCTTGCAGGTGGTGCTGTTCCCATGCATATACTGCCCTTGCTCTTCAAAATGGTCGTGATCATGGGTTTGGAAGGTGTTAAGGAGCCTTGGTGAATTTCTGTAGTGCACCTTGAAAGATAGTATGCATTGCTATTGTGGACAGGGAGCAACCTTTGTAGATGTTGTGCCAATTCAGTTCCTGGTCAATGGTAACATGCAAGATGTTGAGAATGTGGATTCAGCAACGGCAATGCCATTGAAAGTCAAGGGCTGAAGTACAATATTCAACTACATACGAGAAAAAAATACTTCTAACATAGGGTCCACTGCCAAAAGAGTATCCCATATTTTCAGCTTACAGTTTTTGGCAGTTTTATTTCAAATAAGATACTGTAATTAAAAGTCTTTTGTAGCAATGTGCCTAATCAAGACACCATTTTTCCATTCCCAATTGCCCAGAGGGCAGTTGACAGTCGACCATGTTGGGTGTGGAGTCACATGTAATCCAGACCTGGTAAGCTTAGCAGTTTCCTTCCCTAAAGGACATCGATGAACCAAATTGTTTTTTTCCTGATACTTAATAATGGCTTCATGGTCATCATTAAACTTTTAACTCCAGAATTTTTTTTCTTTAAGCAAACACACCCTAGATTATAGAATTTGATTGTTGTTTAATGAAGGAAGCTTGCATACTGTGAAGTGCTTGAAAAGTTCCAGATGAAAACTTTCAGTTTGCAATACTAGGTGAACACAACTTTAAAATAAAATACAACTTGTGTGCTTCATCAACACCACCAGAATTCTAAGCAAAACTACGCTGCTTATTTTTCTCCTTCCTAAATAATTGGCCAAGTGTAGTTTGTATTGCCTGCTTACTGACTTTCTTTTATTTGCATTTGAGGGGAGGCAGCATCTTAACAGTAATGTCACTGGGAAACATATGTTCAAATTCCACCATTTTAAAACTGCAACGAAAAGCTAGCCTAATGGCAACTATTTAAACACTGTTGATTGCCATAACTAAACCCTTCCAGTTCAGTAATGTCCTTTAAGAACTCTACCACCCTTATTTGGTTGGCCTACATGTGACTCCAGACCCATGTCAATAATGGTTTGGCTCTTAACCGCCTGGTGAAATAGCCAAGCAAGCCATTCAGTTCAAGTGTAGTTATGAACAGGCAATAAATGCAGACCTTGCCACTGACAGCCACATCCCATGAGGAAAGAAAAATAATCAGTTCAAAAGAAAATAATTCACCACCAAAATTCCCCATAAACAAACCTCACAGTCATGTTCTAGAAAAATATAACTCTAAGGAAAGGTTCATTATGATTCTCTAAAGTACAAACTATTAGCAAAATATGACATGCAAATACATCAATATTTTTGCTCATGACTATTTTTGCTCTTCTGTGGAAAATCTGCATTCTCCTCTCACTTCCCAACCACTCCCATCACTTTCCTTCTACTAATTTCCAAACACAGCATGCTGATTCACACTTGGGGTCATGCAGCATATTTCTATTGTAATCTTAAAATAATTTTATCCTCTGCAAATCAGAAGGTCTATTCTTGGCTCTGCACCTGATGACCACATCCAAACAAACTGTTCCCAAGGGTTCATATGGAGAAGATCACCAAATTCAATGTTCAAGGTGCAATCAGGCAAGTGGAATGAGGACTACTTGACATTGTGGCAATCAGCAAAACCGACATCTTTCATTAAGAGTTCAGATGTGGTGTCAATACTTTTTTTTCCCCCCTGATTGTGACAACAAGTGGATTGGCATGGTTGGCAAAATATTGCTCCAGCATAATTCACCAAATGGTGAGATGCAGACAGAGAAACTCTGACAGATGCAATATGTAGTTGCCAATGTACAAAACTTTATAGTACAGTACTCTATGTATTTCTTTCCAATATTATTAAAATGTTGGAAGTCAAAGTTTAAAAATTGATAAAAGCTTTGCTTCTTCCAACACAGACATGTCCAAGATCTTCTCATCATGAGATTGTTGTGAAAAATCAGAAAATTACACATTTGAGAAATAATGTCTCAGTAATGTTAATTGCATCATAAAAACAAACTAGTCATGGTATTGAATCATGGATAAGGGACTCTGTGATACAAGTTTGATCCAAATTTATTTTTTGCTTTTCAATAGTTTACAACATTTGGATTGTTTCTAATTTGAATCTGAATATTATATTAAATGTATGAAGTTTTAATAGAGAAAGTGGGACAGGGAGAGTCTTCGCTAAGTAAATTGAAAATTTAATTGTTGCCTGGCTTACTACCCTATCTCTACCCTAGGTTAGATGAAGAATCTGGAGATACAATTTTAGCATTTTTGAACTGCAATGCTTTAAATTTGTATGCAATTTAGACAATTTTTTCTTCACTTTCTGCAATATCATCTAGTTCTATTTGCTTTCACTTTGATTTATGGTATTATTTCTGTGCTTGGCTTTAGTTCCACATGGTTCAATTTCTAAAAACTAATTTGCTCCTTTTTCCAGACAATCAATAAGAACAGGGGAACAGTGCCTACAAGCAAAGCAATTTGGGAGATGCTTATTTTACTGCAGAGGAAACAAATGTTATTTTCATGTAAATTATACGGAAAGGTATTTGGTATATCATATTCTCCTTTGGTCTGCTTTTTTTCTCCCCATACCCATCTGTCAGAACTTCATGTTCCCTTCTGTCTGGACTTTCAACGTATAAAATGCTTTCAGCATTCATCTTCTTTGAAGAAAAAGACAGGCCCCTAGATCTTAGTTATTAGCTTCTGTGATGTAAACTGTGTGATTTACATTCATATTTTTACAATCATTTATTCCAAGTTGAGTTGGCAACCCACAGATTTTCGATGTCTCTGAAGGGATAATTAACTTGTAAGTATTTCTGTAGCCATGGGGATTCCTTTTTTAAAAAAAAAAACAGTTTTGAGGCCTGGCTTTAGAGTGAATAGATTTGTGTGCATTGTAAATGACTTATGTTTATTTTAGATTGTTTTATGAACCTACAAGCTAAATAATGGCTCTTCAAGTTTTGTTGAAGACTTCTGGAATTTGTGTTTTTTAAAAAGGTTGAGGGAAACACTCTCAGCTGAGAAAGAGGGGACTTGTAGTTTTTAGTTTTGACTGCATTTCGGATAGTCCTGAGAAGTCCTTGGAACAGGCTATATATACACCAATGCTCCTGAAAAGGAAGGAGTATACAATGAACTATATGACCTTAGAGTGAAGAGTTAATGTTTGTCCCAGACTGGAGTTGGGATAAAACCCTGACAAGATTACTTTAAGCTGAGTTGCTCCAGGTAAAAAAACTATTCGCAGTTCCAAACTAAAAGTTGAAGTCACAAGTGACTCAAACCTAATGAGGTGTTAGATATAAGAACTTTTGTGTAAATATTGCACAAGTGGTGTTTTGAGTCCTGTAACAGGGGTGCATTTCAGATACTGTACAAAAGTTGTTTTATCTCTTTCCAATTTTTAAAGCAATGTTTTGCCATTAATAAATACTTCTAAGGTGCATTTAAAAATCTTTGAGTATGTCATAGATAGACTGTTTGATTTCTCTATTTCATCAACATTTCCATTGTTAACAAAGATAACACAGTGTGGAGCTGAGGAACACAGCAGGCCAGGCAGCATCAGAGGAGTAGGAAAGTTGAGTTCTGGTTTGGGACCCTTCTTCAGAGAAATGAAATTCTTTCAGCAGGAGGCCACTTTGGTAAAAACCAAGCAAATCAAAATATAATCCATCAAGCCAGGTTGCTGTCTGGGATCTGAACTTGCTCAGTAACATCAGCTATCAGCTTGCCACCTACCAAAATTGTAAATTTATTTCAATATTGTTAAATCAAGGAAACTTCCAATTTATTTAAAAAAAAACACTGCTACAAGTTGCTGGAACAGAAATCCGATTTTCCACTTTTATGGTGACCATCATTTTTCTTACCATAACGGCAATTTCTTGCTTACAAACTTGGAGGTCATGTTCACTGTTTACATACATGCGTTTCAGAGCGCATCTTACACCGCTGTGAGTCTTGACTAAAAACACTATTGCAAATCCACCTAAAGAAATGAAAAACAATATGGTTAGAAAACCATTACAGATAATGAAATTCAATATCTGTGTTGTGCAGTTTTAAATTTTACCACATTCACACTAAGTTACCAGGTAATTAATAAATACCAATGGCTTTCAAATACTCATACTGTATCTTTTTTACTTGGGCACCTGAGCTCTGCACCAAACTAATGACCTATAATTAGTAACTGGTGATAACTGGTGCAAAATTTGGTCAACAAATTAATAACAGATCTGGCACAATAACTCTCAGTTTTAAGTAAGTGTCAATTACAACTCCTGCATGAACATTTCGAGAAAGAATCAGATTACAAATACTTACAAGGGAACTTGAGTGCAAGGAAACTAGCACCACAGAACTTAAAAAGTAAACACAGCCCTCAAGGCAGGGAGTGCAAATGGTGTTAGTGTCATAGGTGGTGTTACTGCCAGTGTGAAGAATGGTGAAATCTGTGTGAAGGCCATTACACCTGGAGGAGCTGCTACCTTGGTCACATCAGGAAATGTAAAGAACAGATTTTTGTGTGAATTACTCAAGAGCATACATGACCACTATAGATGCTAAAAAGCCTGAACTAACAGTATGCGTGCACGTGTGTGTGGTGAGGGGGCAGGGAGTGGTGAAGAGAAAGAAGTGGAGGGCAGAAGGTGTCATGAGAAGTGACAGCTGCAGTATGTTTTGGAGCTGGATTCTGAATGATCTTATGATCTTTCCCTGCTCAGGATCTCAGCAATGAAAAGGAGATTGCAGCCACTGGCTCCATAAGGAACAAGAATGTATCTTATAGGCAGGATGAAGCAGAAATTTTCTACCTCTCAAGGAACCCTTTGATGTTTCCCTTCCCGATTGTTATTCTTTACTCCATTCCTCCATAGCCAGACCTGTCTGTGGCTGCACATCCTCTTCCCCCTAATACAGCATCTTTAATGCTGCAAAGCATTCCAAGCATTTTACAGTAGGATTATCAAACAAATTTTGCCAACATGTCACTTCAGGAGATATGCCAGAAGACCAAATGTCATTTATACACACAGTTTATATTATGGATCTCAGATATTGAAAGGAACTGAGTCATTAAAAAAATGTGCATTAAAAATGGAGAGCAGGCTCCCATTCAGACTCATACAGATGTTAGCAAAAACAAATTAGACAGTTAAAAAGTTAAGGCTCTCTTCATTACTGTTAAAGCTCAATTCTCTGACAGAAGACTTTGACACTAAGGATTGTTAAAGTTAAGAGTAATAGGTTATTTCAACTGGTTGGTGTGATGCTTGAAGAGGTACAAATTTAAAAGTCACAAAATGCCCATGTCTGAAAAATGATCTTTGGAGTGGGTAGCCAAACCATCTGCTACAAAACGTTGTTAAAATAGAATTTGTTAACTCTTTTAGATCAGAATTAGATTGTTAAAAGAGGAGGTTATCAGGAGCAAGGAGATGGGATTAGACAGTGGATTGCAGCAGAATATACCACTGCAGACCTGATGGGTTGAACAGGCTGTTTCTTAACTGTAACACTGATAAATGCTAGATTTACCTATTGGAGATAAAACCTTCCTTTACATGAACTTATGGTTTATAATAATGGTTTATAACAAATAAATAGGACAATTATAATCCTAGTCTTTACAGGGTGAGAGGATTATCAAATTTAAAAACTTCAAGTAGGTATGTGTCCTTTATCTAAGTTAAGTGCTCCCTACATATGGGATAAATCCCATAAAACCATTATTGGTCATTATAGATCAATGTTTTCTGATCTAATTTGCTTTTGAAGCTATTCACTATACAACTTGTGAAGTAGCCGCAAGTTACAGTAATTCTGGTTTCATACATCCTGTAATCAATGAACAATTGCAAAGTCAATCTTCAATTCTCCAACTTTACAAAAACATATAGATCAGCATGCATGAGGAAAACAGCAGTACGAACAGCCGAGCAGCCACTTTAAAGTTAAAAGCGGGAAGGAATGTCACCATTTAATTAAAGCTTCGCAGATCTAGAGTGAAGCAAAGCATCCAGCATGAACAACTGAAAAAGGAAATCCACTCCACAGATTCCAAAGTCTTTTGGACTTCAGTTCCAAGTTGCACTGGTAAGTTTGTGGTAATTAATAAACTGGAAGGGATATTCCTTCAGACTGATAAGTTACACTGGTCATGTTTCAACAGATAACTGTTGTTATGGATTCTGAAGAAATAGTAGATGTTGAATTCCAAAGCATTTCATTGTCAGATAATGGGTCATATTACATGATGTATATATATCATGAAAAGTATTTTGAAAACACATTCTCAAGCTGACAAAGGATATATTATTACATAAACTAAATTAAATATTCCTTTTACTTAAAAGTATTTCTGTCCCTTCCCCATTCCACCTTAAAATCTCAAACAGTCCAATTTTTCTTTAAATGATAATGATTTTTACTAGAACAAGCTGAAACAGAGATCAACTAATCAACACCTACCAGGCAACCACCCCATTAAACCGCAGAAAGAGTATTCCCATTAACTTTTTAACACAACTGGCAACGCCGTGCCACTTTAAATGGCAGAGCAGGCTTGAGGGACTGAATTGCCTACACTTGCTTCTAGTTCTTATGATCAAATACTTCAGCCTCATCTGGAACGGATATGCTGGTTCCCACATCATTGACATGATAATATTTGTGAAGCCTCCCTTACCCATTGTGCACTAACATTCATTGATGCAGCAGGACTGCAGAGTTGATCAGTTAGTCATGGGATCAACTAACTGCAAGTTGCATGATGCTTTTGCTTTTGGTGTGCAAGTGGCCCCGTATTGTGGACTCACCAGTTTGGAACCTCATTTTTTGGTCTGTCAGGTGCCTTTAGCTTCCTTGATTTGATGGTAATGGTAGAGAAATATGCTGAGTCATGAGTACAAACTGCAGCTGAAAATAATTCTGCTGCTGTAGATGGCCTATAGTACTTCATGGATATCCAGCTTTGTGTTGCTTGCTCTTTCCGATTTTATTCCTGTCAGTACTGCTACGACCAAGCCACTCTTGGTAATAGATATTGAAGTCCCTCACTCAAAGTCCTCCAATCTTAGCACTTCTTCAAAGGAGGAGGAATGATTCATTAGCCAAGGGAGGTTAGTGGGTGGTAACAAACAAGAAGTTTCCTTGACCATATTGGAACTGATGGCATAAGACCTCATGGGGTCCAGAGTCAATTTTGGGATTCCTTCCCATGTGCACACACGTGCACTTAATTTACTACTGTCTTATCAATGCATTGGCTGTAAGGTATGATTCAACATACAGCTGTCAACTCACGCAAGATGTTAAGAAGGACTTTGTCAGGTGAGTGTGCATTGTCACACAGGAGGCTAAGAAATATTAACATTTAAATGAATTCCCCTTTAACTCAAAAGGTATAGATTCGCTAAGAAGGAATTAATTTTCTTCGTAAGCAGTTCTTTTGCAGTGAAGAGTTTAATATCTGTGACAGGTTGAGGGTAGTAGGAGGTAGTCTATATTAACAAGGTATCTGCTTGGAAGTAAAAAAGGAAACCGTTATGGAGTTGAAAAGTTCATCTGCATCTGACTTTCTCTACTTCCCCTTCTCAAAAATGAAATCTTCAGTCATGTTTAATCCCAATAGCGTCGAGTGTATGGTCAGAACCGGAAATAGTCAGACTGCAGCCCATTTTAGACATGGTCATATGGTTATCTAAAATACATGCAAAACAACATTTTAAGTGATTGTGTCTGTATTTTGAGATAAAGAACAAAGTAGATTCTTAAGTCTGGGTTATTTCAGAGTACTGTAATTCCGAACAAAACAAAGGAAGTTGTCAATTTACATCCCAGTACAAAGAACACCGTTTGAAAGCAAGGTAAACATAGAATGTAAATGGAAGAAAATTTACTTTTGGAAAAGATCATATTGCACAATGAAAAGGTAACTAACAGTTAAAAAGAAAGGCTATCAAAAGCCCTACATAACATTTCCACACTTGTATTTAAGTTACAATTTTACTGAACGGTTAGCTTGCCTTCCAAAATTCAAGCAGCATGTGCTTTGATACACTAAATTTAACTTCATTGTAGGATACAACAAGAAAATAGAAAGTTTCTAAAACAAAGGAAGAATTTGAATGCTATAATTTAGTAGACTGGGAGCCAAACAGGTTAGCAATGATTCAATATCTTACTGCAGACTCTGTACTCTGGAGAGTGGCTAATGTAGTGCCATTATTCAAGAAAGGTGGTAAGGAAAAGCAAGGGAACTATAGACCAGTGAGCCTGATGTTAATGGGGAGTAAGTTGTTGGAAGGGATTCTGAGGGACAGGATTTACATGTATTTTGAAAGGCAAGGAACAATTAGGGATATCAACATGAATTTGTGCATGGAAAATCATGTCTCACCAACTTGATTGAGCTTTTTTCAAAGATTCAGACTAGTAACAAGGCAGTGCAGTGGACGCTATCTTTAAGGAATTCAGCAAGGCATTCGACAGGGTTCTGCATGGTAGACTCATAGCAAGGTTAGATCACATGGAACCCAGGGAGAGCTGGCCATTTGGATACAAAATTGGTTTGAAAGTAGGGTGGTGATGAAGGGTGGTCTTCAGACTGGAGTCCTGTGGCCAGCAGTGTGCCACAAGGACCAGTGCTGGTTCCACTGCTTTTCATCATTTATATAAATGATTTGGATGTGAACAGATTAAGTATGATTAATAGGTTTGCAGATGACACCAGAATTGCTGGTGTAGTGGAGTGAAGAAGGTTACCTCAAAGTACAACAGGGCCTTGATCAGATGGGCCGATGTGCTGAGGAGTGGCAGATGGAGTTTAATTTAGATACACGTGAGGTGTTGCATTTTGGTAAGGCAAATCAGGGTAGGACTTAAACACTTATGGGTAGAGCCCTGTGGAGTGTTGTCGAACGAAGGGGCCTTGTGGTGCCGGTTCATAGTTCCTTGAAAGTGGAGTCGCAGATAGTCAGGGTA